TGAGAACAAAATGCCTCTACTGCTTTTTCCAGTTAGAATGGGAGTGACATAGTTTCTATCCAGGAGACAATGAAAACTAGAAATATACTTTATTCTTAAAGACCTCGAATTGACCAAGGAAAAATTGACCACATTATAATTCAAGCCTGTTTTAAATACAGAAACTTTTAAAAAATATTTATTTTCTTCTAAGACTGATGAAATAATAGTTTTGTTTTTTTTTTCTGCTAGACTGATGATAGATTTCCTGAATAAAAACAAAGAATTTTATGGACTTTGTTTGCAGGCTTAGATTAGTAAGGATTCTGCAAAGTATGGAATATAGAACTAATTCTATGTGACGGCTTTACTTGCTTCCCCGCCCCCCCCACTTTTTTGGCGGGGGCTTATTTAAGTGGTGGTGGGAGTACTTGGCTAAACCCAAGTCAATTTAACATGAGTAGAAATCTCCATGTATTGAAAAATATCTCTTTAATACCTACAAGGTACTCAATACTATTCTTGATGATGGGGATCCAGCAATGAGCAAAACAAAGTCCCATTTTTATGGAGTTTATGTGCTAGTCGAGCAGTCTGATCATAAACGAATTTACACACACATACACACACAGTAATGACAGTGTTATGAATCAAAATAAAACAGAGCTATGGGAGTGCTGCTTTTGATGGCATGGTCAAAAAAAGCCTGATATTTGAGCAGAGAATTGAGCTGGAGAGCCATATGGCTATCTGGGGAAGGAATCTCTCATATAGAAGGACTGGCAAGGCCAAAGGTATAGGCACAAAGGTGTGTTTGGCAAGCTCAGAATGCTTAAGGAATAGCAAAGGAGGCCAGTATGGCTGGAGCTGAAGGACTTAAGAGGAAAGTGCCAGGAGAGAAGGTAAGCAGCAGCTCAGGCACTTAAGATCTTTTCAGCAGGGAAAGGGGTTTAAATTTTATTTTAAGTGTGGTGGGAAGCCACTGAAGAGTTCTCAGCAGAAAGTGACATCACCTGGTTTATATTTTAAAGACTCACTAGCACCTAGGTGGAAAATAGACTGAGGTGGGTAAAAAGGAAGAGAGTGAAAACTGAGCCATACGTAGAATCTTTGCAGTTGTCCAGAATGGAAATGTTGCTGGCTTCGACTGGCATGGTAGTGATAAACCTAAGAGAAGCGGTCAGATTCAAAATATATTGAAGATAGAGCTACACTGGATGGAAAGGAGGATAAAAATGACTTCTAGGTTCGGGTCCCTAGTAACCTGGTTAATGGTGGTGCCATTTACTGAAATTAGAGGGCAGAGAGCAGTAGTTCTATCTAGTAAGACTGAGATACCTATTTGGGCATCTGTGTGGAGATGTAGAGTAGTATCCTCAATATTATTATTGGGATATATAGCATGTCAGGACATATAAGAGTCGCCATCATTGTCATGGATACTGAGCTCCTATTATGTAACAGGCATAATCTCATCTAATCATCACAACCTTGTGAAGTAAATACTGTTTTCTCCAATTTATAGATGAAAAGAACTGATACTTAACTAGGCTAGATAGCTTGCCTAAGGTCGCACAGCTAATAAATTGTATGTTTCAAACTCAGATATTTTAACCTCCTGACCTAATTACTGATATACATAAGTAACAAGTATACCAAGTAGTTTTCATTTTTTAAAAAATATTAGACTTTTAAAAGATCAGCTTTAAATTTAAAATCTGAACAACTCTCAAATAATACAACTTAAATATGAATTTTAAAAGAAGTGATATGAAATTGGTTCATTGTCATATTCAACTGAAATTGAATACTCAGTGAAAATTATACATTTGTTGACTTTTAAGACAAGCATATGTGAATATGTGCATTCTAAAATGGCTGCTTATTTTGTAGGAATCCAATTTGCATATATAGTGGTGATCGTAAAAACCATTAAGCTTGACCCTCTCTGGTGAAAAAGAAACAGATCGATTATTATGAAAAGGCATCCAGAATCCTTTATGCTTTGTGAGCTTGTTTAGCAAAATACCTTTTAATACTGAGCTATCTAATAATTATTATAAAACTTGTTATACCTCTAATAAGAAAAAGTCAAGACAAATTTTTAATGTATAGCATTTCACATGTGAAATGACATGGATGATACTAAATGGATCTTGATTGAATCAAAGCATTATTAATAATCTAATAGGGTAAGTTGATACCTTTTTTTATATATACCACAGTTTCCCTTGCCTTCTCTTCCTGTCAATACCATAAATTTTCTGTGATAGACTATGGCGAATGGATCTATTGATATAAAAAATAGTCATATCGTTTTCCATAGAATTTATATTTAAAATTAACTTTTTAGTAATACAGAAGCAGTCTGTGCACATTGTAGAAAATACCATAAGCAGAAATAAAATTATCACATTCTTCCCCCAAGATCATCACTGTTAAAAATATAGATTTTTTCTCTGTGTCTATACATACATTTTTATACCGGGGGAGTATGGAATCATATTTTACAGTTTTTTATCCTACTTTTTTCAATCATCGATCTTCATCTTTCCATTTCAGAAAAACAGTGTTTAGTAACCAGACCATGTTCCCATTTATGACCTCAGAAAATGTTTCACAGCTGGTATATCTAGACTAGACTCAGTTTAGAATCACACGTTGTTGCATCTGGTGATGTCCCGTCAGTCTTTTTTTATCTAGCAAAGTTGCTGA